TCTGTCGTTGTCGTCGTCGTCGTCGTCGTCGTCGTCGTCGTCGTCGTCGTCGACATCGCCCTCCGCATGCCTCGTACTCGCCCTCGTTCTCTTCGTCCTCGTTCTTGTGCTTCTCTTCCTCCTCGTTGTCCTCATGCTCCTCCTCGCTATCCTCACGTTCGCCACGTCGTCCTCGTCATCGAATCCTCGTGGTCCTCGCCTTCCTTTTCTTCTTCGCCCAATACGCCCATTTGACTACAGCGGCGCTTCCCGTTCTTGTACGATCAGGTTTATCAATGCATGTCTCTGTCTGCATATCTCTATATATATACGCAAGACTGCAGTGGCGCTTCGCGCCATGCACCTTGGTCCTTGAAGTTTGGTATGCAGCCGGAAATGGCAGGAAGGTCAAGCCGACAATTTAGCGATAATTCCTTGCTGTCTTTTCTGGCATCGCCGTTATGATAATGTTGTTCGTTATCCTTCCTCCATGCTTATGTTTCTTCATTCTCGCCATACCCTGGGCATCTTCCCCATCCTCCTTAGCTCTTTTTGCGGAGGCTCCTCCTTGGAGAGCCTCTGGGGGCCTCACCAAAGTTCTCAGGCTTTTTTAAAGCCTTCTGGAGGCCTCCTGGGTGTGTTCTGGGTGCCTCTGTGGCTTCCTAAGGCCAGCCTGCCTCTAACCGCGGTCTCCCTGAACGCCCCAGTCACGATTTGGAATGCTTCGGAGGGTGTCTTGGGGCCATCTTGGGCCGCCATGGTGCTCTCTTAGGGCCATTTTGGACTCCTGTTGTGCCGTTTTGGGGCTCCCTTGGACTCCCTTGGACTGCCTGGAAGCCCTTTCGGATGGTTGTGGGGCGACTTGGGAGCTTCCCAGGCGGCTTCGGACGCCTAGGAGACCGCCGTCTTGGAGCGTCGGGAAGCCGAAAAGAGGATAACCCCAAATGCACCAAAAACCTGCATAGAATCAATGATTTTTCCCTCTTGAGGCCTTCTTGGGGGTGCTCTTGGAGGCCTCTTGGTACGTTTTGGAGCGATCTTTCGGGGTATGACGGCTTCTTGGAGCGCTCTTGTGCTGTCTTGGGGGTCTTTGTGACGTCTCCGGTGACTCCCTTGATCGCCCTGGGTGTGCTGCGAAGGCTTGGCAAAACGCCTTACGAGGCCCAGAGGGCCGCTTCGAGGCCCGTCCGGAGGGTCCCAAAACTCCAGATCCCGGGGGTCTGGTTTTAGGGGGAGGGGTGACGGGTTTTCCCCCCGCCCGGGCTTATAAAAATATAGGAAGAGGAATATGTGTGTATGTATGTATGTATGTATATATATATATATATATATATATATGTATGGGAGACACCTGCCGCACGCAGCTGGTTCCAGCCCAGTCCAGCCCAGCCGCCGTGGGGCTCCCCCGAGACATGGCCGCCTCCAGCGCAACCGCCAGAGCAGACCGGCGGCATGCAGTTGGTCCCTTTCCCCCGCCTCCCCTCCTCCGCCCCCCCCAGCCCACCCACCCCTTTGCCTCCAGCGGTCCAGTAACGTCAACGAGAGCTAGACCCAGAGATCCGGCGCTCCCAACAAATTAGCCTGACGAAGGACCCAACCATATGCAGGTGTGAGTACCGCAATTGTGATTCATTTTTTCGGTGGTGATCCTTATGAGGCAACGAACCGTGCTAGGGGTGTGCCGAAATGAGTGGCGTGGTACACAACGCGGACGAAAACGAACAACATAATGCGGACTGCGCCACGGGGACCTTCGGTGGGGCCCCATATGGGGCCACGAAACGTTGTACTGGGTGAGGGAGACGCATGCGGACCGCGCCACGGGGACATTCGGTGGAGTTCCTTATGGGGCCACGAAACGTGTGAGGGGTGTGCCGACATGAGTGGCGGGGACGCATGCAAATTGTGCCACTGGGACCTTCGGCGGAGCTCCTATGGGGCCACGAAACGTGTGAGGGTGCACCGAAATGAGTGGCAGGGACGCATGCGAATTGTGCCACTGGGACCTTCGGCGGAGCTCCTATGGGGCCACGAAACGTGTGAGGGGTGTGCCGAAATGAATGGCGGGGACGCATGCGAACTGTGCCACTGGGACCTTCGGCGGAGCTCCTATGGGGCCACGAAGCGTGTGAGGGGTGCGCCGAAATGAATGGCGGGGACGCGTGCGAACTGTGCCGCTGGGACCTCCGGCGGAGCTCCTATGGGGCCACGGAACGTGTGAGGGGTGTGCCGAAATGAGTGGCGGGGACGCATGCGAACTGTGCCACTGGGACCTTCGGCGGAGCTCCTATGGGGCCACGAAACGTGTGAGGGGTGTGCCGACATGAGTGGCGGGGACGCATGCGAACTGTGCCACTGGGACCTTCGGCGGAGCTCCTATGGGGCCACGAAACGTTTGAGGGGTGTGCCGAAATGAGTGGCGGGGACGCATGCGAACTGTGCCACAGCTCCGATGGGGCCACGAAACGTGTGAGGGGTGTGCCGAAATGCGTGGCGAGGAGGCATGCGAACTGTGCCACTGGGACCTTCGGCGGAGCTCCTATGGGGCCACGAAGCGTGTGAGGGGTGTGCCGAAATGAGTGGCGGGGGCGCATGCGTGTGCGGGGGCGGAGCTATGCGAACTGTGCCACAGGGACCTTCGGCGGAGCTCCTATGGGGCCACGAAACGTGTGAGGGGTGCGCCGAAATGAGTGGCGGGGACGCATGCGAACTGTGCCACTGGGACCTTCGGCGGAGCTCCTATGGGGCCACGAAACGTGTGAGGGGTGTGCCGAAATGAGTGGCGGGGACGCATGCGAACTGTGCCACTGGGATCTTCGGCGGAGCTCCGATGGGGCCACGAAACGTGTGAGGGGTGTGCCGAAGGACGCATGCGAACTGCCACTGGGCCTTCGGCGGAGTAGGGGCCACGAAAGAGGGGTGTGCCGAAATGAGTGGCGGGGGCGCATGCGAACTGTGCCACTGGGACCTTCGGCGGAGCTCCTATGGGGCCACGAAACGCGTGAGGGGTGCGCCGAAATGAGTGGCGGGGACGCATGCGAACTGTGCCACTGGGACCTTCGGCGGAGCTCCTATGGGGCCACGAAACGTGTGAGGGGTGTGCCGAAATGAATGGCGGGGACGCATGCGAATTGTGCCGCTGGGACCTTCGGCGGAGCTCCTATGGGGCCACGAAACGTGTGAGGGGTGTGCCGAAATGAGTGGCGGGGACGCATGCGAACTGTGCCACTGGGACCTTCGGCGGAGCTCCTATGGGGCCACGAAGCGTGTGAGGGGTGTGCCGAAATGAGTGGCGGGGACGCATGCGAACTGTGCCACTGGGACCTTCGGCGGAGCTCCTATGGGGCCACGAAACGTGTGAGGGGTGTGCCGAAATGAGCGGCGGGAACGCATGCGAACTGTGCCACTGGGACCTTCGGCGGAGCTCCGATGGGGCCACGAAGCGTGTGAGGGGTGTGCCGACATGAGTGGCGGGGACGCATGCAAACTGTGCCACTGGGACCTTCGGCGGAGCTCCTATGGGGCCACGAAACGTGTGAGGTGTGTGTGCCGAAACCATGATGATGATGCTGCTGCTGCTGATGATGATGATGATGATGTTGCTGCTGATGCTGATGATGATGATGATGATGATGATGATGATGATGATGATGATGATGATGATGATGATGATGATGATGATGATAATGATGATGATGATGATGATGACAACGATAACGATGACGATGACGATGACGATGACGATGGCGATGGCGATGACGATGACGATGACGATGCTGATGATGATGATGATGATGGTGATGATGATGATGATGATGATGATGATGATGATGATGATGATGATGTTGATGATGATCATGATCATGATCATGATCATGATCATGATGAAAGGAGGGGACGGGGAGGAGGAGAAGGAGACGCGGGGACCCTCTCTTCAAAACGAGGACCCAGGAAACGGATTGGTTGGGAAAAATGGAGCGGCGGGTTTGGGGTCGTTTTTGGCCTCGGGGAGCCCTCGCCAGGCCTCGGGACCGTCGAACAACGACTCGGGACGAAAAACCGGCCCGAGGGAAGTGGTCCAGACCTCCCGGGCCCACGCATCGAACAAATTGGAGCGGCCAGATGCTTGGGTCTGTGGTCGGAGGGAGGAGAAGCGATACCAACACCACCAGGGGGCCCACCTCCAGCCAGGAGGTCCACGATGCCTCCCCGAGCCGGATGCTAGGGATGTCTCGAGCGAGAGGGGGGGACCACACCACCAGGGAGATTCCCCTTGCCTCCTCGCACCTCCTCGCCCTGCTGGTGTTGGTGTCGCCTTTCTTTGTTCCCATGTGGGCTGCAGCAAGCGGCGCGCAAGGAAGGAAAGAAGGAAGGGCAGAAGGATGGAACGAGCCAGCCCTCCCAATGTCGTGGGCCTCCGCACTCAGCGGGCCGCACCCCCCCCCCGCCCTGGCCGCCGCGGGCCACGGCGCACGGGGCCACGCCTCTGCGCGCAGGCCTCGCACGAGGCCTCGAGCCCGGGGACGCGGGGAAAAGAACGACCTCAAGGCTTGCGCCACATGCGCCGATCCCTTGATTTGGTCGGGGGCTTCATATCGAAAGGCCCCGGGTTTCGGGACAGAGTCTTCAGGGGTGCCTCCTGAACGAACGACTTCCTGTACCCGTCTCATGGCGGCAAAGGCCGCCTCTGGGACCCGTGGGGCAGGCGGGGACTATGGGACTTGTGCGATCTGTGGGACCCGGGGGGCCCGGGGGCCCAGACACCCGGCAAGTCCAATTTGGTCGATGCGTGGTCCTAGGGCCAGTTTTTCGTCCCGATTAGTCTTCCGACGGTCCCGAGGCCGGGCGAGGGCCCCCCGAGGCCGAAAACGGCCGAAAAACCGCCGCTCCAATCTTTCTTGGAGCGGCAGGTCTCTGGGGAAAATTTAGCTTTGAGGCCCGGCCCCCTTCAGGACTCGCCCTCGCCCTCGCCGCCTCTCCGCCGCTAGCGCCGCCATCGGCACGTCCTCCGCGCCGTCCCGAGCCTGCCTCGAGGCTGGCGGCCGAAGCGGCGCGGGCCAGGGCCGCCGGGCGCCCCCCTCGAGGCCGCGGCCGGCCGTGCCGCGCGCCGAGTGCCGCCCGATGCCTCGGCGGCTTCTGCCGCCCGGGCAGGCCGTAAATGTCTGGCGGTGGGGCCTCGGCCGAGCCGCCGCTGCTCATCGCGGGCGGCTACGGCGCCGAGGTCCGCTTCCTGGACGCCGCGCGAGGCGATGGCGGGGAGAGGGCGGCAGGGAGGGGGGGGCGGGCGGAGGAGGTGGAGGAGGAGGACTTCCCCGCCTCCCTCCTCCTCCTCCTCCTCCTCCTCCTCCTCCTCCTCCTCCTCCTCCTCCTTCGCCGCATCCTCGGGCCTCTCGCGTCTCCTGCGCGCCCGCCCGGCGCGCAGCTGCGGCCGCACACGGAGCGGCGCGGCCAGCTCGAGTGCGCTTGTCTCCTCCTGCTGAGGCTGAAGTTGAAGCTGAGGGCTTTTTCCGTGCAATGCATTGGGGCCTTTTTCTTCCTGCTCCTCCTGCTCCTCTTCTTCCTCCTCCTCCTTCTCCTCCTCATTCTCCCTCCCCCTCCTCCCGCCTTCCTCCCCCCTCCGCTTCCCCTCCCCACCGCCTCCCCCCCCTCCCCCTCCGAGGTGGAGGGGCCAGGGGGAGGGTGAAGGGATAGGAGAAGAATGCGAGAGCGAGGGAGAGAGCAGAGAGCGGAGGACACGCCAAGTTGGCTCGTGCCATATCTGTCATTTTCTTACCATGATTGCGAGATTATGGTCTATCTGCTCGCCTGGGGTGTCCTGGAACATCTTAATCCCCAAGCTTGTTCCATCGCGTGATGTGCGATCATGAAGGGGGAGGACTTTGTGCATTAGGCGAGGGGGCGGTGGTGGATGAGAAGAATGAGCAGGATGAAGAGCAGGACGATGCGGAAGGAGGAGGAGGAGGAGGAGGAGGAGGAGGAAGAGGAGGAGGAGGAGGAGGAGGAGGAGGAGGAGGAGGAAGGGGCGGAGTAGCAGCAGGATAAGTAGGAGCAGGCGGACCAGGGGAAGGCGGACGAGGGAAAACCGAGGGGGACGGCAAAGACGAGGACCGAATCGGATCCAGAAGTGTGGCCCGCGCTGGGTCGAGGGTGCAAGTCGTGATGACAGGAGCAAAGCGCCGATCCTAATGCGGCCACTGCCGAACCGGGAGCCCAAGTTTCGAGCACGTTCCGATTGAAAAAGGCACGGGGCGAGGTAATGTTCTGAGTATGCGTGAGGGAGGGAGAGAGAGAGAGAGAGAGAGAGAACAGTCAACACACACACACCATATGCGGAGCGGGGGTGCCCCCGTACAAGACAGTAGGGAGTAGTTTTCGTATGTTTGGACATGTGGATGAGGAGGAGGAGAATCTGGTTAGAGAAGGAGGAGGAGGAGGCGAAGGAGGAGGAGATGGAGGAGGAGGAGGAGCAGCCTAACGACAAGGAGTAGGGACGAGGATAGAACATACTGATAAAGAGCAAGAGGATGAAAATAAAAGGGGAGGGGGGTATCCAGCTGCCTGCGGCAAACCCGCCACGGTGCCAGCAAATCCGCGGGCCCTACAGGTCCCAACCCCTGAAGGGATAGTCTCTAGACCCAGGTCCATTCTGGATGGCCCCTGGATGCCGACGCGGAGGAAAGATGCCGTGATTGAAAACATCAGTCCGCCCGATGTCTGGGGAGGTGGGGGTAGGGCGTCTCAGGAGACATCGTGCACACCGTCACGCTCAAGAGCCCTCTTGGGCCGTTTTGGAAGCCTCCTGGGCTGTCTTGGAGCCCTCGCGGGCCGTCTTGGATGGCCTCCTGGGCCGTTTTGGGACGGTCTCGAGGGCCTCCGGTCTCCGAGGCTCCAAGGTAAAGCCAATTGGCCCAAATACGGAAGCAGCGCACACGAGAGCAAATCCTCAGTTCAAGTCCAGGCGAGAAGACGTCGTGCAGACCCTCACGCCCAGTGGGACGACGCACGACGACCACTCTGGGCCGCGTGCTCGGGGAAGCGTCGTCGTCGCCACCGGTGGCTGCGTCCTCGTCGTCCTCGTCGTCGTCGTCGTCCTCGTCGTCGTCGTCGTCCTCGTCCTCGCAATCGTCCTCGTCCTCGTCCTCATCCTCGTTGTCCTCCTCGTCGTCCTCGTCGTCCTCGTCCTCGTCCTTGTCGTCGTCCTCTTGCTCGTCTTCGTCCTTGTCTTCGTCTCAGGAGACGTCGTGCACACCATCGCGCTCAAAGACTTCGGCCACGTGAACCGCATCAGCGTCGCGCCCGGGGCGAAGCAGGCCCCCCGGGCGGGGCGGGGCGGGGGGGGAAGAGGGAGGAGGGAGGAGGGAGGAGAGAGGGGGAGGAGGGAGGAGGGAGGGAGGCCGCCCCTGCCGCTGCGCATGTTTCGCGCCTGTCCCTTCTCGCCTCCTCCTGCTGCTACTCCCCCCTCCGCAGCCTGCGCCCCCGCCGCCCGTCCCGCCGGGGCGGTCGCCGAAGGCGCCCTTCACGCCTGACTGTGGTTTCGCACAGGGGCCCCGCCGCGAGCTGCCCCTGTCCGGGTCTCGTTGGGCCCCTGGTGCGGGTGGAGCTTCCTGCTCCCTTCCCGATTTCTCCAGGGAGGGAGGGAGGGCAGGAGAGGAGGAGGAGGAGGAGGAGGAGGAGGAGGAGGAGGAGGAGGAGGAGGAGGAGGAGGAGGAGGGAGGAGGAGGAGAGCCGCGCGCGGTGCGCCCGCACGCGGCTGTGGGGGCAGGCCGAGAGCTGGCGGGCCCGACCTTAGGGGCCCCAGGTCCCCTCGTGGCGCGCGGGGTGAGGATCTAGGCCTCCCAGATGGTGTCCGAGCAGATGGGGTCGGAATGGCGCGCCGCATTGCGGATGCATCGGCGATGCAGCTTGATGTGGAGCACGAGGTGAGGATCTAGGCCTCCCAGACGGGGCCCGAGTAGATGGGGTCGCAGGGGCGCCCAGCATCGCCGATCAATGCAGCGCGATGCAGCTCGATGTGAAGCACGATGTTCTCCACGCCGACGTCGCCGATGCATCGCCGATGCAGCGGCGATGCATCGGCGATGCGGCGCGATCCTCCTACACCATGGGCCCTGACCCCATCCAGAAGGCCCTTCATTGGAACTGCTCGGCTGCTCCCGGGCTCGAAAGTAGGAACGGAGGAGGGGGTAACGGGGAGGGAGGAGTCGTGTCTGGCCGTCTGGGGGAGCTCCGTGACCTCTGAGCGAGGTTCCGTCGGGTTTGGTCCCGTGGGCTCGCCGAGCTTGCATCACGCCAGGCCTGGCCGCCCTTTCAGAGGAGCCACCCGTTGAGTGAGTGAATGTGCTCTTGCCCGCAGCAGCCGGATCAGATTTTGGAGTACGTCGCAGGCGGCGGCGGCGGCGGAGGAGTTGGAGGAGGAGGACCATCAGGATGAGGTGGATATGCACGTAAAAACAGGAGGAGGAGAGGGGTGATGGGACGTGAAAACGAGGAGGAGGAAGTACGCAGGAGGAGGAGAAGAGGCTAGGGGATTGTGGAGCCCCTCGGTGTGCCAGAGGAGTTTTTACGAGTTTTCAGCTTTGTCTTCTTCATCATCCTTGTATTTCCTCTCTCGCTTTCTCCTTTTGCCTCTCTCTCACAGACACATTATATGCATCTCCTTCCTCAAGCAACACAAACAAGTCCTTTTGGACCGCGAAACGCGACACAAACATATTCTATGCCCTCGCAACAGGAATCCGTTGGAAATCATCACCAACGGATTATATAGGAAGGCATCATACTCGGTGCCGCCGGAGCCACTAGGAAAGCACTGATGGGGGCTTCTACTGGAAAGCATCACCAGAGTCATCTTTTGAGAATCGCCACGAAGAGATTCGATTGACAGCCTCACATCCAGAATCCTTTGGAAAGCGCTACAAGGGGATTCGATGGGAAAACCTGGCACTCGGAGTTCTGTGCGAACTGCTGCACAGGGACTCCAGCGGATGGCCTCACAACATGGATCCATGAGAAAACGCTACAAGCACATTCTGTTAGACACAATCATACTTCGAATCCTTTGGACAGCGCTTCAGAGGGACTCTGTGGGGAAACTTTCAATTTGCAATTCTGTGGAAAAAGGAATCGGAAAGACTGTTTCGGAAGGCTTCACAACAGAGATTCTTTGAACAGCACACAACAAGGTTGTATTGGAGCGCCCGCAACAGGAATCCGTCGGAAATCACCCCACATAGCTTTTATGGCTTCGCAACAGGAATCCGTTCGGAACCACTACAATCAAGGGTTATATTGGGAGGCGTCGCGAACGAAACCGTTCAGAAAAAAAGTGTTGAGGTTTTCTCATTATTGGGACGCATCACAGGAGGAAACCTTTGGACAACACGAAATACCCGATTGAACATCATCGGGCTTGGAACGCTGTAGGACATGCTACACAGGAATTCTATTGTATCGCCTCACAACAGGGATCAGTTGGAAAACGCTGTCTAGCAACACGCATCTTGTAAGAAACAGTCATAGTAAAAAGTATTTGGAAAAGCGCCCCAGAAGGATTCCGTGGTCACAAACAATTTGGAACCGTTTTGGCAAGGAGTCTAACAAATTTTACCGGACGGCCTCGCAATAGAGATCTGTTGAACAGCGCAACCAAATGGAATGATTATACCGGAGCGCCTCGCAACGGGGATCTTTTGGAAAACGCCACACAGGGATTGCATAGGAAAACTTCACAAGATAACACCTTCGGACAGCAACGCGAAGGGCTCCTGCTGGAAAGCATAGCAAGAGGAATCCTTTGGAAAACGCTACGACGGGCTCCTTTTGGAAAGTACCACAAAGGGGATCCTTTGGAACGCACCACACAGAGATCCTATGTACATGGAAGGGGTCATTAAGGGGTTCCTTTCGGGACGCCGCACAAAAAGGAACCCATCGGACAGCACCACAGAGGGATTCCACGGGGAAAAAACACCGCTGAGGGCTCCAATTGGGAAGCCGCACGAAAGAAATCAACCAGGAAACCTCACAACATGAATCCGTTGGATAGCTCCGCAGAGAGAGTCGATTGGAAAGTCTCACGACAGGACTCCTCTTGAAAGCACCTCACAGAGATTCGATCGAACAGACTCGCAACGAGGATCCTCCGGAAAGCGCCACAATGGGATTATACGAGGAACCCGCACAGTGGGAATCCTTTGGAACGCGCCGCAAAGTGTGTTATAAAGCGTCGCGCCAGGAGTCCGTTGGTAAGCGCCACAAGGAGACTCCACTGGGAAGCAGCACGACATGATTCCGTGGGAAGACACCACCAAGAGATTCGATTGGAAAGCCTCGCAATCGGAACCCATTGGGAAACACCACAGAGATTATGTTGGAACGCCTCTCAGCAGGAACCCTTTGGAAAACACCACAGCGGCATTCTATTGGAAACCGTCACGTGGGAATCCTTTGGGAAACACCATGGGGGGATTCTATTGGAAAGCCTCACATCGTAAGGCTTGTTTGAAAGCACCACTGAAGACTCTTACTTGAAAGCCGCGCAAAAGAGAATCCATCGGAAAGCGTCACAGAGGGATTCCATCGGGAAGCCTCACAAGAGAAATCCTGTGGATAGCGCCGCAGAAAGATTCCATGGGAAAGCTTCACGACAAGACTCCTCTGGAAAGCACCACACAATCATTATATAGGAAAGCCTCGCAACATGGATCCTTTGGAAAGCACCACGACGGAATTCTACGGGAAATCCTCACAGTGGAAATCCGTTGGAACGCGCTGCAAAGGAGCTCTATTGATAAGAACCGCAGCAGGCAATCTTCTGGAAAGCGCCACAAGAAGTTCCCACAGGGAAGTCCCACAAAAGGAATCCGTGGGAAAACACTACCCAGCGATTCGATTGGAAAACTGCACGTTCGGAATCCATTGGGAAGTACCACAAGGAGGTTATATGGGAACGCCTCACATCAGGAATCATTTGGAAAGCACCATAACGGCATTCGATTGGAAACCGTCACAGTGGGAATACTTTTTGGGAAGCACCACAGAGGGATTATAGTGAAAAGCCTCGCAACAAGGATCCATCAGAAAGCGCCGCAATGGGATTCGACGGGACATCCGCACAGTGGAATGTTTTGGGGACGCGCCGCAAAGGGTTATATTGTAAAGCATCGCGCCAGGAATCCTTTGGTAAGCGCCACAAGGAGATTCTATTGGTAGGCGGCACGACATGAATCCGTGGGAGGACACCACCAAGACATTATACTGGAAAGCCTGACAATCGCAATCGGAATCCATTGGAAAACACCACGCAGAGATTCTGTCGGAAAGCCTCTCAGCAGGAATCCTTTGGAAAGCGCCACAGCGGCATCTTATTGGAAACCGTCACAGTGGGAATTTGTTGGAAACGCCACAAAATGTATTCGATGGGAAATCCTCGCAACAGGAATCCTTTGCAAAGCGCCAAAACGGGAATTCGACCAGAACGCCTTTTCAACAGGAACCCATTGGAAAGCACGCCGAAGGGATTAGATTTGAATTCCGCACGAAAGGGATGTCAATGGAAAGCACCACATTGGATTTCCCCCACCCCAAATCAATTGTGGCCCATTATGTTGTTGATTTTATTTGGGGGAACAGAGAAACATATAGCAGGAGGAGGAGGACGAGAGGAGGAATTCTTACAACAGGCTCCTTTGGAACACGTCACAGAGAGAATTCGATTGGAACGCCTCTCAACAGGAATCCATTGGAAAGCACCCCAAAGGGATTATATGGGAAAGCCGCACAAAGGGCATCCATTTGAAAGCACCACAGCGGATTTTCGCCCCCCATAAAACAAGTTGGCCCATTATGTTTTAACTTTTTGGTTTGACTTTTTTGGAGGGGAGGGGACAGAAAAAACAGGAGGAGGAGGAGGAAAAGAGGAGGAGGAGGCTTGGAGACTTGGAGACTACCTCGAGGGGGGACCCTTCGCTCGCCACACTGGGCGCGCCACGAAACTCACGAATCTTCGAAGCTACAGACTTCGAACATGTCGACCTCTGCAGCTTGCAGGCCTTGGTACCCAGTGAAAAAAAACGAACATCGGGGGATCGAGGACGGGTCAGCGAAGCCATTCTGACGGGCGACTTTATGGTCAATGAGAGGAGGAGCAAATTGGAAGCCGTATCCCGCCGGCCCGTTCCCAGTCCCAACGCCGCCCCCCGAAGATTCAGCACGCGCGTCCTCGAAGCCGCCGCCAGCGGCCAAGGACGGGGGGCGCGCGCACCAATGATCTCGCAGCACCTGCGGGGGCGCGAGGTCGGCCTCCAGCGCCGCGTTCAGTCGACCTGGGTATTGACCTGTCCTGAGGCGGGCCCTTTAGGTCCTGAGACCTGGGGCGTCTCTCCCCTGGCAGGCCGCATCGAGCCCCGCTCCCTTGGAGAAGTGCTTACCTACCGAGGCTCCGCATTGCATACAGAAGAAGACATTCGTGCTTGTTTCAGTCTGAAGCCCCCCCAGGAGCCGTCACCACCGAAACCTGGACGACCGAATGGCCGTGGACTGCCCACGGGACTACTTCAAAGTTAATGGTGCCGAAAGGCTCCTAAGGAGGAGGGGCGGCAGTAGCAGGCGTGCAAGAGGCCGAGGAGGTGGAGGGGACGAAGGGGCCATCAGCATATGTTTCCACCCCCTCCGTGGCGCATTCGGCCAGCAACACCTTGCCCACAGAGGTGGCATTCAAGTCGACGACGAGATTCGCGATCCCAGACACGCCCTGCGAGTGCGAAAGGTTAAGAGCCCCAAACATGTGCTGGGCCCTCGCGTGCCATCGCGACGTTGCTATGGCGAGTGTCACCGCGCCCTCAGTGAACAGCACTTGTTGGGGCGGGACGGTCCAGAGTTTGACACTCTTCTTGGCCCAGAAATTTGCGAGGCGGTTCCCGCGGATGCACCGCTCCTCCTGGTCGTCCCCTTATGCGCGCTAGCATCCATGCCTACCCTGGCCCACCAGCGCTCCCGAAGGTGGCGGCGAGGGTTGTTGAGATCAAGCCAAAAACCAGATTCGAAGAACAGCCAGTGGAACCGATACAATCATTGTAGACAACAGGAGGAGGAGGAGGAGGAGGAGGAAGAAGAGGAGGAGGAGGAGGAAGAGGAAAGGGGGTAGGACAAGGGGGTGGAGGAGGAGAAGGAGAGAAAGAGGAGGAGAAGGAGGATGGAGCCGAAAACCTTCCGACAAACATGCGAAAACAGCATCCGAAAGGCGAGAGGTTCCACAATCCCCTTCTTTCGAGGAGAAGAAGGAGGAGGATCCGGCACGGGGTAATGAGCGAATAAGGCAACGACAAAGTCAAATCAATCCGTCCTTTGTACAGGCTGTGGCAAAGGTGGCAGCACCTCAGAGCGGAGGCCGCGATTAGGCCCTTCCGCCATGCTGGGTGCACGCCAGAGCCCTGATCCAGCAGGCAGCGCAGAGGGCACGTGGGCGCAGGGCGGAGGGGACCCGCGACCGCCCCCCCCCCGCCCAAGAGGTGGCGATCGCGGGGAACCCGCACTTGCACGCCTACGCGGCGCGCGGCGCCCCGTCCGCCAGCCCGGTCTGCCGCTACGAGGGGCACAAGGGCAACGTGACGGCGGTCGGCCCGCGGCCCAGCCCTGCTCTGCGCCTCCCAGATGGGGTCCGGGCAGAATGAGGTCCAGGGATCGCGCCGCATCGCTAATGCATCGGCGACATGCGGCTCGATGTGGATTCCGATGTTCTCGACGTCGACGTCGCCGATGCATCGCCAGCGTCGTCGATGCGTCGCCGATGCATCGGTGGTGATGCTGCGGCGCGATCTTCCGACCCCATCTTCTCCGACCTTACCTGGGAGGCCACCACCAGCCCTGCTCATCCCTTGACACCCTGATCACCGAGAGCACTGAGACGCGGGCGACGCAACACAACATCGTGAGCGGCCCAGCCCTGCTTATCCCTCCCTCCATCGACGCCCGGATCGCCATGAGTCCCGGGACCCGGGCAGCGCACACAGAAATCGGGACGGCGTCTGGAGGCCGCGTCCCGGCCCCAGGACCGTCAAACAACAGCCCAGGATGAAGACTGACCCAGGGGAAGGGGTCTGGGCCACGGGGGTGCCCAATTGGTGAACACAAAACACGGTTCACTATCGCTTAACCGAGCCCCATCCTCATCTCCATCCCCATCTCGGCCCCCTACCATCCCACCACCCCAGGTGGGGCCATGTATCCTTCGAGGCCCGAAGGAAACGGCCCCTATCCCCATCGAGGGGGGTACATTGGCCATCGGGGCCCAGGCCACGCCCATGGTCTAGGGGTCGGCTAAGCTGCTTAACGACGGCGGGGTGCCTGGGCCCCGAAGCCCTGATCGCCACATGGCTCAGCAATGCGGGTTCGGAGAGACAGGGCCCCCCCGGAGCTTTTTTGGGCCGTGGGCTCCTGGGCCCCCGGTCGTCGTCGTCGTCGTCGTCGTCGTCGTCGTCGTCGTCGTCGTCGTCGTCGGAGCATGCCCCCAATGGCCGATCTGTCGGGAGCATTCTCAGGGAGAACTCCCCTTACGAGTCGTCCATTCACGCTGGAGCCTCGAAGAAGGGGAGAACATACGAGGCGCATGGGCACCTTTTTACTCCTGGGTGGCCGGCGCGGTCCCAGAGCTCTCTGAGTGATTTCCCTCGGAGGCCTCGTGGAGGCGGTTTTCCCCCAATCAGAGCTTGCGGCCGCCGATTTTCGCTGCACGCCTGGGTGCCCGGGGGGTGCCCAGGAGTGGGTGCCCGGATGCCCGGGTGCCCGGGCGTGCCCGGGGGTGCCTTATAGCCCACTAGCCCTATGGCCCTACAACTCTTTCGCCCTACAGCTCTATAGCCCTATAGCTCAATAGCCCTATAGCCCCCTAGCCCTGTAGCCCTGATTGGGTTTTCTCTCCGGTATCATGGAGTTCGTCTTGGGGCATCCTCGGGGGCATCTTGGGACCAGATTGGGGCCTCCTGGGGCTTCTCGGGGGCCTCTCGGGGAGCCTGCTGGCGGATGTCATCCTGGAGCGGAGGGCGCGAAATGTCGGGTCGAGTTCCCCCTCTTGGGGCGCTCTTAGGGCCATCTGGGGGCCATCTATGGAAACCTCTTGGGCCGTCGGGCCGTCTTGGGGCCCTCGTGGGCCGTCTGGGGGCCCTCTTGGGGGCCTCTTATGGCGATCTTGGGGGCTTCTTGTGTTTTCCCGCGGCGTCGAAAGCCCGAAGAGGCGAGAACGCTGAAACCTTCAAGAGCCGTAGAGAGATCATAATGATTTTGGCCTCTCGGGTCCCTTCTTGGCGGGCCTCTTGGAGCCCTCTTGGGCCGTCTTGCGGCCCTGTAGGGCCGTCTGAGAGCTATATTGGCGACCTCTTGGACCGTCAGGAGTCGTCTCGGGCAATCGTGGAACATCTTTGGGCCCTCTCGGACCATCTTGGACCGTCGTAGGGCCCTCTTGGGCCGTCTTGGAGCCTGTCGGGGCGGGCCGGGGCCCGTTTCGTCCCTTCTGAAACATGTTTCTTCTGGCATGCAGTTCCCTCAGCGTGGTAGGGTAGGTGACGTTGAGCTCTATCTTCGCCTCCCGCATCTCCCTGGGTATCCCTCACACCCACCTCTTCTCCCCATCTCGTCTCGCTCCCCTTTCTCGCCCCCCTACCCCCTCCACATATTCCCCCCTCCCCTTCTCGCCTCCTCTTCATCCCCTGCTGCTGCTCCTCATCTTCCTCTCTTCCATCTTCCTTTCACTGCAGTGCCTCCTCTCCTCGCCCCCCATCCCGTGTTCAAACGGAGATCGCATAGAGGTATCGGGGAGGTTTCCTCCTCCAGAGAGGGGGGGCGGACCTACCTCATCTTCCCATCCCCATCCTTCTCCTCCTCTTATATCGTTTGGTAATTCCTCCCTCTCCATCGTATGTGTTTTCATTCCTTCCAACATGTACAACTTCTATGTTATATCATTCATCCTGGGCCCTCATCGTGCTCACGTTTCCTCTTCGCATCACTGCTTCCCCTTCCTGCCCTCCCCCCTCAACCCTCCCTCTCATCCTCCTGCTCATCTGTTCTTCATCCTCACCCTCCTCCGTCCTCCCTTGCCGTTCTTTTCTTCATCCCCCACCTCCTGCTTCCTGCTCCTCTTTTCGACCTGTTCTCTTCCTCGCCATCCCCATTTCTCCCACCTCCCCTGCACCCTACGAAGACGCACAGTCCTTCCTTTCTCGTTCCTTGTTCAAGTTTCCCCGCCCTCCCATCTATTTTCCCTCCTCCTCCCCCTCCTTATTTTCATTATCCCCTTCGCCTTATTACCCTCCCTATTATCATCCTTCCTCCTTCTTATCATCCCTCCTCCTCCTAGATCCTCCTCCTCGCCGCCTTTCCTCCCCTCCTCGTCCATCCTGCGTGCACTCTGGCCCACCCTCCTCCTCCGTCTCTCCCCTTCTTCTGGCTTGATTTAGGGCGGATTTAGGTTGAGTCGATTGAGTGTTTTTGTGTTTTGATGCCGACGACGATTGTAATGATGGTGGTTATCAAATCGTAGTGCTGATGGTGGTGGCGATGGTGATGGTGATGATGGTGGTGCTCATCGCATCCAGAATCACCATCATCACCATCACCATCATCTCCTTCACAACCGCCCTCACCATACCATCATTACCATCCCCATCATCATCATCATCATCATCATCATCACCACCCATACCATCAGCATCGCCATCACCATCACCATCGTCACCATTGTGGTCCGTAGGACTTGGCTCAAAATACTGTCGTCGTCCGCTGGGGCGGTTTCCCCGAGCCCTCCAGCCTCGTCCTCTCCTTTGATTTCCCCGAGCCCTGCGGCCTCGTCCTCTCCTTTGATTTCCCCGAGCCATGCTTCCCCGAGCCCTGCTTCTTCTTCGAGCCGTGCGGCCTCGTCGAGAGCGGCCCCGTCGAGCCGCGCGGCCTCGGCGGCCTCGTCGAGGGCAGCTTCGCCAAGCCGTGGCAGCTGCAACAGCTCGGACGCCGATGCTGACGTAGGGTCCGACGCCGACGGCGCCGACGGAGTTGCTGACGCAGCGGGCTCCGAAGAGGACAGCGGCTCCGACAGCGGCTCCGAAGAGGACAGCGGCTCCAGCAGCGAGGCAGCCGCGGCTGCAAGAGCGAAGGCGAAGGCCGCCCCGAGCAAAGTAGTCGAGAAGTTCCCGCCTTCGTTGTCCATGACCCTGGAGGAGCACGTCGCCAGCCACGACTACCCAAATCACGTCTCCACCTGCGGCGCTTGCAAATTTTGGAAGAACAAGGAGAAGTAGAGCGCCCCGATGTCTGCGACGAATCCAGTAACACTGAAGAGTGAAACTTGGATAGGCTGCGCAGGTGGTAGATTTGCAGTCTGCTTGTTCTGCCCGGCGTTCAAGGGCGCTCGCTGCTATTCCACCATGGGCCAGGGATCCGCGAGTTTCCAACGCAAGGAACATCTCGTGCGCCATGCACAGTGCGAGGGGCACCAGGCAGCAGAAGCGGCGTGGAAAGAGCGGATTCGAGCGGAAGGTGCGCACCAGGGTCTCCCCGTGTCTGTGTTCCCCACAACGGCTGCATCAGCTGCAGCAGTTGCAACAGCCGTGGCGCCTGCGCCCGCCGTCGTCCGCAACGCCGACCAGCGCCCTGGTTGCCGCGCAGTGGTCGCCACCCGTGCAACGTTGGAGACAACCAGTTCCTTCAGTAGTTTCGACGTGTGGCGGGGTGCGTTCGTTGGGGGCGACCGCCAAGTTTTGGAGTCTAGTCGGCAGTGCCGGAGGCTGGTGACCACCATGGCTCAGCACGAGAAGATCATCACGCAGAGGATCCTCAAACATGGTGTTATTTTTTCGTTCGGCTGCGGGCGGCCTCGACCGCGCGTGCCAGGTCGAAATTGGCACCGTGCTGTGGTCGATCCCGAAGGCTTTGGACTTCCTCCCAAGCTACGGTCTCAAGGCAGGCTGGCTGGAACAGCTGGGCCCCGGAGGGCCCTGGACCGTGGATCGGGTGATCGGGATGCGGGAGTTCCCGCGGGGCATGGACTGCGACGGCAAGGCTTCCATGCTGGAGGAGTGCGTCCGTCGCGCGTGCCAGACGGCAGGCGGGGAGCTGGACGGGGACTTGCACAAGCATGTGCGACAGGAGACTCGGGCATGGTGCAGCGGTGGGGCGGATCTAAGTGTACCCCTGGCTGCAACAGCTACGTTCCCTGGGCTGGCGTTTGACGCGTGGGGCGAGTCTCACTCGCCCCAGAATGTTCTGGCCAATTCGATGAAAGGAGAGAGCGAAATAACGACCACGGGCGAGCTGCTGGTAACGGGTGAGAAGCCGCCAAGTCTGGCCAAGTTCCTGACTACCTCCACCGTGTTCCGCAACGCACTCGGGGAGCAGCAGCTGGTGGAAGACGGCGCTGCGTTCGTCAAAAATTTCGGCTGGGCCCCCCGGCGTTTCAACAGTCGGGCGAGGGCCTTAGCACGGGAAAGTCGGCGTTGGGAAGTCATTTTCGAGGCGCTCGGAGTGGAGTCCCACGGGAAGGACAAAGAGCGGCGCATTCTCGCCCGACAGATTCTGGAAGGGCTCGGGGGCAAGAACAGTTCGCGCCAGCTCCTGGGGGGGTTGCTGGCCGA